TAATATGTACCATATCTTTTCTAAACATTCTGTCAGAAGCATATAAGTTCAGATGAGAAATAAAACTTTAAACATTTTGATTGTATGAGTTTTTAAAATAGAAAACCTCAAATGAATGGTTTTATACAGGAAGTAAGACAAGATGGATGCACCATGCATCTATCTTCTTCTGCCAGCTGCCAAATACATTGATACACCAGCCTATTTAAACAGTTTCCTTCCCTCCCTTACTTGCCTTCTAGCGGGTGCCACTAATAATATAAACTATTTTTAAAAATAAATAAAATAAAATACCATAAGGCGCTCAGCAGGGAAGCTACTGCACTGCTACCATCTTGGCTCAGCCCTCACTGCCAATATACCTATCTAAACATTTCCTATGATAAAAGCTGTCTGTCTGAATTCCTCTTTCCTTACACAATCATTCACTTTCATATATTAGAGCTGTGAAGACTTCACTAATAATACTAGATTTGGATTGAAAAATACCTATATAGCAAAGTATATATTTTGGCCATACCAATTCCTTCAGCTTAGATCTGGTAGCCCTACTAGATACCCCCCTCCTTCTCTCTCTCTCTCTTTCTCATCAAATACTCTCTCTTACAAACAAAGACAGCCATATTATATAGTAGTAGGAGAAAGAAAAGGCAATGAATGAGTCAGAAAAGCAATGCAAAAGAATAAAAATAATATGTAAAAGCAGAAGATCAATACAGATAATTTGCCAAATGGCAATTTACCGAGGTGTTTATATCATATATATTACCCTATTGAATTATGTGTAAACCATTTCTCATTCCCTCTAGATTTTTAACAGTTCTGTAAAATGTAATATATTCTTCATTTCTCATTGATATATTAAACAGCCTGACATTTTACCCAGTAAGTTCACTACATTTGAACTGCCAAATTCTGGATAACCATTAGATGGCAGCAAAGGGTTAGAGCAGTTATTCTCAAAGGGTGAGCTATCTAATAATCTCATACTATTTTTTTAGTATCTCCCTACAATAACAATTAGCCACTTACCATCTCATTCTCACAGGCCAACAGTGAGTTTCATAAGCAGTGAGTTGATGAAAATCCATCTGTTGCCTTAGCATTCTCTCCTGAAGCTGTCAAAAAGGGCAAGATGGCAGATGCGGTATATACCATCTTGCTATTTTAACCCTAACCTTTGGCCATTTATAAAAAAAAATATTTAGTACAACTTGCTCAAGCATTAAGAAATAACTGATAGACACAGGTGGCTTGCAAGAATGAGTCAATGATTGAAACATTCAAATAATAAATGAAATACCAACACAAGTATTAATTCATAAAACTGACATAAGGGTGATTACCAATTGTGAATACATGTAAGATGTAATAACCAAAACGGTGATCTTGCAGAATTAATTTTTTTAAAGTTTAAATAAGAAAGACAAGGATAAATATCCAAAAATAGGTTTTGTTGGACTAGAGATCCATTTGTCGCTAGCCACATAACTACTGGAAACTGAAGTAGATTCTTGTCCATAGCAATATTTATATGAAAGGAGAATAAAAAAGTCAAGACAGCAGATACTGCATTGCTTTTTTCGATCCCAACCTTGATGACCGCACTGCCTGACTAGGTTCATATTAAGCATTGTTATTAAGTGTAGAAGATATAGATTCATTCAAGTAGAAAATAAATATTATTTTGGATTAAAATTTCCAGTATAACATTTAATTAAGGCCTTCAAATTGGTGAGAATAATATATTCACAAAATCACGTTGTGAACATGTGAGTGAATAGTGATCACTGATGATGTTACCTAGTTTGGGCAATGAAATATCTGCAAGAAAACATCTCAGAGAACATCAAGGACCCCACAAGGGCTGGGATGGCATGCTTTCCTATGGTATAAGGGTACTAAATCACATGGTTACTTTAGAAGACATTATATAAGGGAGGCGTTGTTGTTAAATTGGGAAAAGGTTAAAAGACTACATTATTTAAAAATTCCAGTCTGGATATCAACAATTGAAGCATTTTCATATCCGATAATATACAAAAAGGAACAAACAGTTAGATATACAGAATTATTGAATACAGAGGGTGAGCTCAAATCTAGTCAAGAGTTGAAACAAGAAGGGATGGAAATGAACTGGTATTCATATGTACAGATATAATCTAGATATAATGAAGATAGAAAAACTAAAGGTCTTTATAATAAAATGACTGAGTTAGACAAAATTCTAACAGGTACTGATGAAAAAGTAATTAAAAAACTATATGGATATTTATTGGAGTTTAAATTGCATGAAGAACAAGTTAAAGAAACTATGATAGCTTGGGGAAAAAACTTTAGGTATGGGATTGATTTAGAGAATTGGCAGAAATTGTGGTCTCAAAATTACAAAATGACAATGTCTACTGCATATAGAGAAAACTTGTATAAGATGTTTTACAGGTGGCACCTACCCCCGACCAGAATCGCAAGAATGTTCAAGAATAAATCAGAAAAATGTTGGAAATGTTACCAGATACCTGGCTCATACTAAAACATGTGGTGGACTTGCACTGAAGCTAAAAGATACTGGACTAAAATCCACATGTGGTTGGAGAAAATGACACACAAACAAATAGACTTTAAACCAGAGGTCTTTTTATTGGGGATCATACCAGAAACCTATAACAAAGACTTAAAATATCTGATTGTAAATGTGCTAACAGCAGCCAGAATTGTTTTTGCAAAAAACTGGAAAAACGAAACAATACCAAAACAGGAAGAAGTTATCCGAAAAATAATGGACTGTGCTGAAATGAATAAATTGACATTTGAAATTAGAGAGCAAGAGGATGAACAATTTTATAAGATATGGGATTTGTTTTATCTGTGGCTAGGGGGAAAAAAAAACATTGGAAATGAAAAATGATATACTTATGCCTTAATTGAAAAAAGTAAATGATGATATAATTATGCTGTGAAATAATCTAATAATGACACAATGAAGTATTAATATAAGGTCTGGGGATATAATGTATAAGGTTAAGAACTTACTATAATGATATGTCGCTGCTGATAAAGCAATTCTAATAGGGGAACAAATGAAAACTGGTATATATAGGCAGCGATGCTTTGTTGAACAATGAAGGAGTAAGATCTCTGTTTGAAGGTATGAAATGCAAGGTTAAATAGAAGTATACTCTCTGGGGGAAAATAATGCTAATGTTAACTAAATATATATTGTAGAATGAAAATAAGACCTTTAGTTATATTAGATGAAATATCTGAGACGGTAAATATTATTTGAAGATGCAGAGGTTAAAACAACTGTAACCAAACAACATACTGCATGTGATGATGGGGTTTTTTTTGTCTTTTTTGTCTTCCCCCTTCCCCCCTCCTTTTTTTTTAAACCCTAGGTTATTGTGGTGTTTATTAAGTATACAATAGAGAGATACGGGATGTATAAACGTAGTAGGGATGCACCTGTGATCAAATGACATATTGTATGTGATGATGGGGTTCTTTTTTTTTCTTTCCCCTTTTTTTCCCTCTCCTTTTCCCATTGCCTTTTTTTCTATTGTTATGTGATGTTGTCTATGTAATAAAAAATAAAATTATATATATATATATATAAAAGGACCCCACAAAGGCATCTATAATTATTACCTTATAGTTAGCCAAAAAATCCTTTGCTCTTAAAATAAACATATAGGAAGGATGTATATTTGAGTGCTCTGCCTTTTTTGAACATAGTGGACAATGATCGCAAGACATTTATGAAGTGTCCTGTATCTCTTTGCTGCCACTAAGTCTTGCAACTCACTTTTGTCTGCCAACTTTTTTCTGTAAAAGTTGTTCTGTATGTCACCACTTGTCAATCAAAAGAGAGATAGTTTGATGTAGTGGCTAAGGCTAGCACTTGGTAGACTACAGGGTATTTCAATATTGCCTTGGGCACAAAGCCAATTGGGTGACCTTCAGCCCAAGGCAGTAAGTAATGACAAGTCACTTCTAAAATTTTCCCAGGAACATTGCTGGGTTTAGTTTTGATTATCTAATTTATAAATTATAACTTAGTTAATATATGGTGACAATTTGCAAATTCAGGATTCCGTAATTTCATTAATTCAAACTAAGCATTCTCTAGTCAAAAGGAACAAAAACAGAGTCTGTAGCAAAATCCAGTAATGACTTCCTGCGGCATCACAATAGCAATAGCAGTTACACTTATATACCTCTCTAAGCAGTTTAGAGAGTCAGCATATCACCCCCACAGTGTGGGTCCTCATTTCACCCATCTCGGAGGGATGGAAGGCTGAGTCAAACTTGAGCCGGCAAGACTAGAACCGCTGAACTGCAGATAACAGTCAGCTGAAGTGGCCTGCAGTACTGCACCCTAACCACTGCGCCACCTCGGCTCTCGCCACCAAGCCCTCGCCTGTGCCGACCCGACCATTTCATGACTCCAATAGCAAAAGGCCTGGCTCCGGGGATTTCGGGTGTCATTGCCTTACCAAGCGGCGGCGAAGAAGAAAAAGAAGAAGGGGCCGGTCTGCGGCTCGGCGACCTAAAACATGGGCTCTTCTTCTTCGGGACGTTTCCGAAGGCCTCGCTGCTAGTTCGGGAGAAGGCCGCCTCTTCTGTTAGTCAGCCGCCCGCTTAGTTTCGCTCTTACCGAGGGCGTCAGAGCAGAGGATTGACAGCTGGTCCGCCTCCCGCCGGAGATTTAGTATCGCGCCCGCGAAAGGAGGCCTCCGAGCGCCAATGCAACTCCGCCTCCCGCCTTAGCCTGGCCCAGGTAGAGCAGCGTCGAGCTTTCCTTGCATTTCGCTGGATGAAAAATGGGGCAGAATACAGTATAAGCGGCCTGACAGAAAAGCAAGGCTGGTGTGTGTCCGACTGCTCTCTGGGTATGTTCAGTAAATGAAAGAGACTTTAACCTATTTTCAGGCTCAACATCATTTTTGTCTAAACCCATGTTCCCAGCCTTAGAAACATTAACGTGTGTGGACTTCAACTGCCAGAATTTCCTCACCAACATATTAAGTGGGGAATTCTGGGACTTGCAATTTACAGGTTAACGTTCCTGAGGTTGAAACACTTGTTTATGAAAGCCTATTCTCTGGAGAAATGTCACTGTAGAAGTTTCGATGACCTGTAATATTTGCAGGCTAATTGTTCTGGTTGATCAACAATTTAATAGGGCTGGATTTTGTTACTACTTGGATGAGAACCTGGTGGGAAATCCCAGGACTTTTAGATTTGGGAAGTACAAACAGAATTGCTTTTCCATCCCTGCCATAGACACTGCTGGGACTGTCTAAGAAGTCACACCAAGGGAATCTAACTATGATTTCCACATGCTTACTGAGAACTTAATGTTGATTGATTTTAATGTGGCTTGTTCGTGTACCTATGGTTATGCTTAGGACCTTTAGCACTCGTATTTTTGCCACCTGCATTTTAAAACCAGATCCATATTCTTTAGGAAGAAAGGGGAAGGAGGAGCATATGGCCAAGCGTTTTGAGAGCAGGGTTCCATCCAAAGTACACTTCAATGTTTGAAATCATCAAGTGCATTTTTGTTCAAGAGATTAAAATTAGTATAGTATGACATAACACCCCCCCCCCAATTATTCAAATATTTTTCATTTTCCCTTATGCACCTGGTTACTGGACTGCTAATTTCACTGGAGAAAAAAAATGTTCAAAACATTAATGCAGATGCAGTGAAAAGAAGGGAAACTCACAAGACTGCTCTTGGGCCCTTATGGTTTCAAAGGTTTTCCAGTAAATCCCATTAAGTTCCCTGAGTTTTATTTCTGTGTAAAAGATTACTGATCTAATATATAGTTTCAGCTATGTTGATGATACAGGCATACACTCAACTAAATTACTTTGAAGTTTCTTTTGGAGATGCATTTCAAGTGCAATCACTTTACCTCACCCTGGAAAGTTGACATCCTTTCAGAAAAAGTTTTTATTGTTCCTTGTATTATCTGTTGATTTTAGTTACATGTCATTCCACTTCCAGAGACATAAACAGGTTGCAACAGAAACATCTGTCCACAAATACTGTCATTTTTCATCTGTGATCTTCTAGGGAGAGAAATATTGAAGCAATCTTTTTTGATTGGTAGGATTAGAAGCAATCTGGAAGCATCCTTACTGACTTGATTCATTCATTTTTGTAAGCCATAATATGATTTATTTTATTTTGGATTGGCACATTGTATAAATTTGACACTTTCCCCCAGTTTCATCTGACCATAGCACAAACAAAGTCCAACAATTTACTATTTATGATATGTTCTCATGATATCAGTTTCATCCCAGCCTAATCCAGGTTGTGTACATTGTGGTTTTAAAGCAGCAGTTTTCTGCTTAACTATGTAGCAAGTCACAGCAACTTTTATTATGTGTACAATCTGACATATTTCACTGGTCTTTTGACTGGTGGTACAATCAGTTGACTTCTAGAAGTGGGATAACCCACATCAATTGCCCATTTTAGTTCAGCACAGGCATGCCTTGTCCTTTCTAATCTCTGGATACTGTCTCCCTAGGGCAATGGGGCAGTCAAAGGTTTTTAAAAATCATCTCTCCTTCTTTACTTCCAAACTTTCTGAGCCAGTCTTGAAGATGCTGATCAATAATGCTAGTAGGGAACTGAGCACTGAAGCTAGAGAGGATTAGCTTTCTTTCTGCCACTTTAGGACGCACACATCCAGACACAACCAAGCAGCTGTTGTCATAATGTTTTCAAATACAGGCTTAGTACTGAATCCATGTTCAAAAGAAACTTACCTAATAACTGACAGGCCTGAGATGTTAATTTCCTCCCACTTATCATGTAACCCTATACCTTTTAGCTGTTATTTGTTCTTCTTTTAAACATAAACTTAATGGAGTTGCAGAAGAGCGCTAAATATATTAAAAACACTTAACTTCACAGCTGACATTCATTCACGAATATTTCATAGTGCACAACACTACCTACATCCCATCTCATCAGTTGTAAAGAGGCTTACGGGAATGTAAATGGTGCAACCTTATAACCATATGACCTATGAATATAATAGCAGCTATCATTACAATGTGCACTCGTACCTCCAAGCTGATAGGAGACTAACATGTTCAAAGGGATGGGTCTTTCCTCTGCAGCATTCAAAGAGCCCTCATCTCTTTCAAGTGGATTGTTACTTTTTGGGAGAAAATGGCAGGAAGCCCAACTCTTTATCCATGACATCTCTATTTAAATGGATGTTTATGTACGATTGGAGATGTAGGAATTTTGATTTCTCCTATTCTGCTTCTTTCAGTTTGGGGATCAAAGGTTAAGGGCTTCTGCAATGCCTGGATTAAATTTTGACAGGTGATGGAAACTGAAGGTTTAGCCATCTATTCTCATTCCACGGTAAGACAAATATTTGGTAGATGTTTTCCTGGTGGTGAGATATGTTGACAGATCAGCCAAGGCAAAGGAATCCACCTATTCCTTTTCCTAAAGACCTATGCTTTTCTGCATAGAAATATCAAACACCATTTGTCTTTAATTGTCCCATTCACTTGCCATTTTGTTTCATGTACTTTAATTCTAAAACTATATTAAAGATTGCTCTTACTAATCTTTCATGTAGAATTTAAATACTGAGAAATATAAATCATTAACTTGTTCAAAATAATGCCTATATTAGCTTAGTATTTATAACAGATTTTGCATGGTTTACTTTATTTACTAAGAAGTAAAAGAAAAGTTAAGTACAAATATCAATTATGTTTTATCTCAAATACTTCCAAATGAATATAAATATTCCCTTTATTAATATTTCCCCTCAATTGCAGTGTAAGGCCTTTGTGGGGATTTTTTTTGGTTTTGATTCTTCCAGCTTTTGACAGCTACTACCTGAGTTTGTATAATATACCAAAAACTATCCAATTGTAATTTAGATCCTGCATGGTTATAGTTCAGCGTATCATGCAAACTCAGAAAATTGGAATAATGAAGTAGCTCATGTATAAGTCTGCCATGTGAATGGAGATATTTGTTTGTTTCTGAAATCTTGAGTTGAAGTCCACACTTGCCAAGCTACCAAGTTTGAAAAATTCTGTGGTATAGCCCAATTTTGTTACTGTTAGTATTGGTATTCATTTGATTTACATGCTGCCTTTCTAGTCAGGGAGTGCTCGGTGAGGTCTGAATCTTTTTTGCTAAATATGTAGTTATACTTGGCAGATTGTATGTCATCAGATTGAAACTACACTACATAAATAGGGAGTGAATTGTTTCCATAATCCTTGCAGTTGCAGTCATATTTACTTTAAGCCAATATCCAGTCTTATAAAGTCTTTTCTACATAAATGTTTAGCTTTTAGCAACTTTGAATAACTATATAAAAATATCATCGATTTGTGTTGCTATGTTTGTTTGTGTGATTTCTATTTCCCCATGTAAATGCATAACAGATAAAGGGCAAATTCATGCCTCTAAACCAGTGTTTTTCAACCTTTTTTGTGCAAAGGCACACTTTTTTCATGAAAAAATCACGAGGCACACCACCATTAGAAAATGTTAATTTTTTTTTAACTCTGTGCCTATATTGACTATATATAAAGTAATTCTCCCACGGCACACCTTACACTATGTCATGGCACACTAGTGTGCCGCGGCACAGTGGTTGAAAAACACTGCTCTAAACTTTCAGAGACAAGTTCCCTCAAGCCAGACTGACCCAGTTTGTCTTAAGGAAATTTGTCTCTGAACAGAAATGTCTATCATAGCATTGGAGAATAGGAACAAGTGATAGATCTATACATTGTATATTCACTACTAGATGTACCCATTAGCTTGTAATGCAAATATTCATTATGTGACCTGGTTGTACCATTAGGATTTATGAAACAGAACTTATAGTTTTAGAATCATGAAAATACCTGCAGGTTTGAGAAAAGGAAGTTGTCATGGTTTTCATTATGATTTCTTATTTAAATAACTCAAAGTCAGTTTAGGAAAAACTCAATCTAAGTATAAGTCTTTCCATGAGAAAGTGTTGTGGATTAGAGAAAAACATGAAAATACATGCTTTATTTCCTACCCTTCTATTGCCCAGATATATGATTAAGAGTTATAGGCATATACCAGTGCAATTATTATTATGCAGTTATAAATATGGGTTACTCTATTCTTGTATTTCCCACATCCTGATACCAGACTGTGTCTACTGAACAATACTGAAGCTGCTTTGATTTCTTTCTTCATAAATTTGTTCCCCAGTGTTCCACTTATATATCCATAGGAGTGAGGGAGTAAATGTTACATTTGGAAGAGGAATATGAATAGGCAATTTTAATACTGTAAAATTAAAATTAACTACTGAGTTAATGCAAATTAACTCAAATAGGATGCAAATGGGATTCTCTAGAACAAAGAAGGCTGATGAGTTTCCCACCCCCCCAAATTACAAAGAATTTGATGGATTCTTACTTTGAGCAACATTTTCACTTGTGTTCGAATCTTTATCTCAGTTGACTTGTGAAGTCAATTACAACCTTTACGAACTAATAAAATATGAAACATAAATTAAGCTTAAAAAACACTTGCTGACCTTTCAACACAATCCATGTTTATATGCAAAATTTCAAATGTATTATAAATGATTAATTAAATAAACTAGAATGCACAACTTCTTTGGCTGTTATTCTAAGACTGTGCTAAATTGTAGTTAATTATTCCAAAGAAAGTGAATGAATAACTTAAAATAAAAATTATCCTTATAAAATATAATCTAAGGATTATATTAAGATTTAAAAGTTTTCTTTGAAGCAAGAAAGAAAGAATGATTGACCTTTAGTTGTTCATTGAACAGTCTAAGGTTTGTTGGATTTAACATGTACGGTAGGGAAAAATATATTCCCAGCAGTTGGATTAAAGTGAATACTGTCAAAAATAGAGACAATATAAAAATCTCCAGATAGATTTCTTGTTAACAGCTAAACCTAGTATCTTTTCATTCTTCACAAACAAGCATTTTTTTAAAAAAATTGTTAGATCTCAAAAAACAGACGGCTAACATATGAAATACATATACATATAGTTACAACTCAGCACAGATTGTCTATCTGTTCTTGCTCAAATGAAGCAAATGTATTTCTATGTATACATCTGTGATATTCCAGGATGAAAGCTTCTCTCCTAGAACAACTAGTAACTCCATTATTATCTTTTTCCAGGGGAGGGAAATGCACTGTAGGAAGGAACATTTAAAAATACTTTTACATGTGTTATGCATCCAGTTCTATTTAGGATTATCAAGTGCCTAACATCACATGTAATTAATTTCAATGACTTCAAAAGAAAAGAGATTTTGACATTAAATAAAAAGAATTCTAGTGCCATTATGTGACTAATACATTGCAAATTATTTTTAAATCATATAATTAAAGGAACTCCACAGCACTAAATTCAGTAAAGCACTGAATGTATGTTTTAGAAAATATTCAGAATTATAGTCTGATGGATCATGAAATGGACTGAGGGTGGAGTCTAATATTTGCATAAAACCTATCTGAAGGAAATTAGAATATTCATCTTGAGGGAAAAATGTATTGAAATAACATGAGAAATTACAAAAAAATTGGCAGAGCTCCTCTGAGCATCTGTTGAATTGGGTGGCTTTCTTCATGTGTTTAACTTATTAGCATTGCAAGCTGATAGTACCCATGAGAGTATGTAAATTTAGGCTGCACTTCTATTTACTTTGGAGTAAGTCCACTTGTATTTCTTGTGATGAATTTATATCTATTTTATTTTAAAATATTTCTTTATAAATTCTTTTTGTTTACTACTGAGTAAGTATTCACAGGATTGGGCTTTATGTAAATTAGATATGTTTACATTGCAATTTGTTGCTAATAAATATCTGATTTAAGATAATGTTTTACATAAAGGGTTTTATTCCTCTGTTTTATATTCATGGATAAGTTTCCATTTTTTCTAACAACTATGTTTGGTAGTAGAAGTTCTAGCCTGATTATTTCATGTGTTCTTAGATGTGCATTTAGACAAGGAAAGGCAAGGTCTATTTTCTTTTAATTGAAAACAATCACCCATGCAGCTATTCCATTGCTGTGATTTATTACCTATCGTGTCCCTTGGAAAACAAGAAAATACGATTTTTATTTCTGTTCTAATTGTAATGTTCTTTGTTTCTATTGCACCTTGATTGTGAGACTACAGGCATCCTAGTTAGTAAAAGGAAGCCAACAGTAGATTATCTTTCAAAATAGGTCCTAGTTTCCTTAGTATGGAATGAGCATGCTTGGAAGGCAAATGGATTTTGGCTACTTACCAATATTATACCAAAACACTGTTATTATAATTACAGGAAAATATTGCATATGATATAAGACTGGTAACTAAACGTTAGCTGTCTTTGTAGAAACTATTTCATAAAAACCTCAATTGATCACAACTAGAATGTGTGCTTGAGGTCAGTACAGATGGTCTATCAGAGGAAGCCAAGACAATGAAGTTCATGAGATCAATTAAAAAAGGTCAAGAACTTCAAAGAACAAAAAGCAAGGTATGGAGCGGGGTATAAATATGATGGAGGAAAGTATGGTTTGCCAAGATAGAAATACATTAGAAGAGAATATTTGTAGCTCAGGGAGTGAACTATGGGGTCTTTGGTGCTCTCCCTCTCTTTGGTTGTGCAGTGATGATGTTACCTAGTTTGGTAATGAAGTGTCTGTAAAAATACAATCAAGTTCAGAGAGATCCAAGGAACCTACATAGAAATATAATGTATGGAGAAATGTAGAGAATGCTGTTCTAGATTGCCAGTAATTATATTTTCTTTCCTCTTTTCTTATTAAATGTCTACATTCTTTTGTTTATTTGTATGGACTTTCTAAACACCTTTTATTTGTTTTGCATATTTTAAGGATAAAAAACTGTACTATACTGCCCTGTATATTAGATAACTTCAGGCAAATTGTAACAGGTGGTTAGGTTTGCTCAAGAAATCTTGCTGTTTGATCGAAATAAATAAGCATGGTCTTAGCACCATTATGCACTCTTTATAACAGTGATGGCTAACCTTTTTGTTGTTGGGTGTCAAAAATATAAGTGCGCGCATGCAATAGTACACACATGTACCAGCACCCATAATGCAAAACGCCCCCTTACATGTGAATATGCACACAATCCACCGTCACCCACGCTCCCCCCATGCACGCCACACTGCTCGCCTCCAAGACTTTTTCACCCTCCCCAGGCTCCAGGTAATCTTTCTGAGCCTGGGGAGGGTGAAAAATTAGCCCCTTCCTAACTTCCGGTGGGCCCGTTGGGTCCTTTCCGAAGTTCGGAAAGGGCCCGTTTTTTGCCTTCCCCAGGCTCTGGAGGCTTTCTTGAAGCCT